GAGAGTTTCTCATGAGTACGCTGGCCGTGTTTTTGGTTTCATAGTAAATCGTCAGTTGTATCTTCTGATTTTTGTCTGTAGGGATAGCGTTTCTATTAATAATATCTTTTCGGACCCTTTCCTCCGTTTTATGAGCTGTGGAAAAGAAGTTCCTGTAAAATAGTCTAATAAGGGGTATAGGTGTTGTGTTAGTTGTCTCTTCAGAGGTTGCATGGCGTTTCACTTTCCTTCTTATGATGTCTTCCACGAAACCATTGGAGAAGCCGTTGTTGACTAGGACCTGCCTTACCCAACAGAGTTCTTCGTCGACTTGCTTCCATCCTGAGCTGTGGCTGAGAGCACGGTCGACATAAGCGTTAACAACACTCCTCTTGTACCAGTCTGGGCAGTCACTGTTGGCATTTCGCACATTCTTATGTTTTTTTTTTTTTTTTTTTTTTTTTTTTTTTTTTGAGATATATACAAGAGTTGTTACATTCTTGTACAGCCACTAGTACGCGTAGCATTTCGGGCAAGTCCTTAATCCTATGGTCCCTGGAATACGATTTCCTGCCGCGAAGAATCATTTTTTCATCCAAGTACACATTTTACTGTTGCGTTAAACAGAGGCTACAGTTAAGGAATTGCGCCCAGTAAATCCTCCCCTGCCAGGATACGAACCCATGACATAGCGCTCGTGGAACGCCAGGCGAGTGTCTTACCACTACACCACGGAGACTGCTTAATGTTTGTTTCCTTAGTGTAGACTGCAGTGTGGAAACCTCCGCTCCTTTCCATGACTGTTACATCTAGAAAGAGCAGCTTCCCATCCATCTCCATCTCGTAAGTGAAACGCAACACAGAACTCTGCTCAAATGCCTCCTTCAGCTCCTGCAGATGTCTGACATCAGGTACCTGTGTAAAAATGTCGTCAACATACCTGCAGTATATGGCCGGTTTCAAGTTCATGTCGACAGCCAATTAATGCACAACTATATTCTACCCACTTCAAGACTCCGCTCCATTATAGAAGCATCAAGAAATATCGGCCAATAGGCCCTCAGCAATTACTTCCATTCTTACCTTCAATACCCATTGTTTCGTGTTCTGTCTTGTGTTGAAAGTTTGTTTTCACCTCATCCAAAACTGTTGTAACATATCACCTCACCCAAATGCAGGCATAAAAAATCGATGATGTTTAAGCTCTATTCACAGGACGGGAGAGACATCTCCCGCTAACACATCACAAGGCGCAGTGTGGTCACAATGAGACCCAAACGTCTTAAGGTCAGAGCTACTCCACTTGACGGTCATGCTATCGGAAGAAGCAATACTTTAAAGGTCCTGAAGGACGTAACTGGCCTCAAACCCGCTGACATTAGTCAGGAAGGTGAAGATATCGTGCTCAACTTTTCATGTGAAGAGGAGCTAAAAAAACTCCTCACTAACGATGCCTTTCTTCGCAAAGAGCACTACCTACATCCTAACTTCCCACGTCAGTTCCGGCCGGAAGAACTGTTTTTACCAGCAGGACTAGCCGGTGGATCACTGAGCGACCTCAACATCATATAATAAACAATATCGAGGACGAAAATCCAAACCTGTCGGTATTTAACCTAGAGTTCTGCAACACCGACAAAACATCAATGAAGATTACGTTCACCACCATAGCTGCGGCCACCCAGGCTGCCACACAGGGATTCTACTGCTTCGGCCTAAAAATACCACCCCACCAAATAAAAAAGGAACGATACCATGAGATCCAGCAGTGCTTTAAGTGCTACGAGCTCTCGCACCCGACCAACAAGTGTCAGCACCCTGTCCAGAGGTGCAGCCTGTGCGCACTAGACCATCACTACTCCATATGCAAGGCAACAGTCCATCACTGCTTGCTCTGTGATGGCAATCACCCCGCAATTTCCTACCGCTGCCCCCGCAGACAGGAAATCATCAAGGCCCAGGTTGAAGCCAAAAGAAACAACTCGTCTACCTCCTCGACCAGAGCCCCAAGCGTTCAACACACCACCTTAGCTCTCACTAGTCGACCAGAAGACTTTCCGGTCCTACCAACATGTGGCTCTTCCCAGCAGGCGACACAGCCTTCTCATTGTGGACCGAAGGTCCCCAAGGTCCCACAGGCTCCTTCACAGCCCCCTGCATCACGTACAGGCATTATCCCTGGTCTTCTTAAACTAGCGGAAAGGCTTGCAGGACCAAACAACCAGCGCTTTGTCAGTGAACTAAACGCATTATACATAGACAATGGCCTGGCCCCCATCATAGCCACTAGCGTAAATCTCACTGCCTCCTCTACCACTCCGGAGACTACCACCAGGACGACCAGGTGGTCAACTTCAACACCGACTCCAGAACCGACCATGACCCGGGCGACACAAACAGAGGTAATTCCTTCTCCAGCTCCCAACACTCCTACCATCACTATCTCAGCAGCCGCGCTAGCAGACGTGCTGTCTACAAAAGATGACAGTACCACCAGCGCTCCTGAAATAACTACAAACACCAATCAACGACACCTAAACCTACCTAAGGCTGCGAGGCGAAAGACAAAAACGCCCACTACGGAGGTTACGGACTCCTCAGACGAGGAAATCATAGTAGGAGCTCCACCGCCGCATCACAAATACGACACCTACACGGTTCAAGACTTCCTCATGGAGGCCACATCACCAAACTCCAACGACAGCACTGCTCAGCCAAAGTCGCAGGCAAAGAAAAAAACGGAAAACCTAGAGGTCTATACTAATCCCACCAGCTCCAGAACTGGTATAGCCAGCCCTCCAGACTGAAAAGCATCATGAAGACCCCCATCCATCGCCACATCTCTAGTATCAGCCACTGATACAGATAATGGTTCCAAAGAGCCTCCACTTACGGGCTCACCATAGCCCGTGCTACTGGAACTTATCGTTCTGAGTAGCGAATCTTAAACAACAACAACATTAAACTTTGTGGAAAAGAAGTTCCTGTAAAATAATCTAATAGGGGGTATAGGTGTAACTAAATAGGTGTAATTAACACAACACCTATACCCCTTATTAGACTATTTTACAGGAACTTCTTTTCCACAGCCCATAAAACGGAGGAAAGGGTCCTGAAAGATATTGTCAGTAGAAACGTTATCCCTACAGACAAAAATCAGAAGATACAACTGACAATTTACTATAAAACCAAAAAAACGGCCAGCCTACTCATGAGAAACTCTCCTGACACAAAGCAGAACGTTTTAAAAGAGAACAACGTCGTGTATGCCTTCAAATGCCCTCTTGGGGATTGTAAGCTTCAAAAAACTTATATAGGCAAGACAACAACATCTCTTTCCAGGCGTTTAACGATGCATAAGCAACAGGGCTCCATTAAGGAACATATAGCCTCTTCCCACAAACAAACCATTACCAGAGAAATCTTAGCAAACAACACAGAAATCATCGATAGATACAGCGATAGCAGGCGGCTCGACGTCTGCGAGGCACTACACATCAAGAAGTCAACAGCCAATTAATGCACAACTATATTCTACCCACTTCAAGACTCCGCTCCAATATAGAAGCATCAAGAAATATGGGCCAGTAAAAATACGCCTTCTGCAGTTACCTACTTTTAATACCTGTTTGTATTTCATTGTTTCGTGTTCTGTCATGTGTTAAAAGGTTATTTTCACCTCATCCAAAACAATTGTAACATGTCACTTCACCCAAATGTAGGTATAAAAACTCGAAAGATGTTTAAGCTCTATTCAGTTAAAGTTGTGCGTGTTTGTGTAAACTAAAGTCTTTGAAAATGTAATAAGTTTTACGAAACGCGCTCAAGTGTCGCGTCAGACTAGAAATAAAAATGAATTTTGGAGAATTGATCTTTGAATTACCATCAACAGTGAAAAGAAACGCAAGAAAGATCGAGAAAATTCGTGTTAGAATTATTAATCTTACTTTTTCGGTCATATTTAATAATATATATAAACTAGGCTTATTAGGCAAATCGGGCCTTGCATAGTAGGCTGAGAAGTGCGTTCTGGCTACTAGGTACGACATATATATATATATATATATATATATATATATATATATATATATATATATATATATATATATATATATATATATATATATATATATATATATATATATGTCGTACCTAGTAGCCAGAACTCACTTCTCAGCCTACTATTCAAGGCCCGATTTGCCTAATAAGCCAAGTTTTCCTGAAATAATATATTTACTATAATTTTTTTCTTATCAAATGATAAAGCTACCCTTTTCTCTATGTATGAGGTCAATTTTTTTTTATTGGAGTTAAAATTAACGTAGATATATGACCGAACCTAACCAACCCTACCTAACCTAACCTAACCTATATTTATAGGTAAGGTTAGGTTAGGTAGCCAAAAAAAGCTAGGTTAGGTTAGGTTAGGTAGGTTAGGTAGACGAAAAAAACATTAATTCATGAAAACTTGGCTTATTAGGCAAATCGGGCCTTGAATAGTAGGCTGAGAAGTGCGTTCTGGCTATTAGGTACGACATATATATATATATATATATATATATATATATATATATATATATATATATATATATATATATATATATATATATATATATATATATATATATGTATGACAATGTCAGACCACGGAGGAAAAATGAAACAGGAAATTTCCTTAAGTACTTTCGTATATTAAATACATCTTCTGAAGATGTATTTAATATACGAAAGTACTTAAGGAAATTTCCTGTTTCATTTTTCCTCCGTGGTCTGACATTGTCACATTCTTAATCACGTGTTTATTTTCGTGATATACACACATATATATATATATATATATATATATATATATATATATATATATATATATATATATATATATATATATATATATATATATATATATATATATATATATATATAATACCATATCATAAAAAATCCAAAGTGTATCCTGGAATCTGGAGATTATATATCATATACCCTAGAATACTTATAACAGCATCATAATAATAATGTACCTCAACAGGGTCAGCAAATGGAAGAGATGAATCTTCCAGGATGTGTAGCAGATCAAGAGCCCCGTCAACCGTAGAAGGCCCATTTATCACCAACACGGTGGGCTTTTTATATTCAGCAAGAGCTGCATTAATCTTCTTCTCTGAGAAAGTGTCTCCTATCACTAGTTTGGCGCCACTGTCTTCCAGCTGCCGAAGGATTTCCCCTGTGTGGCAGCCAGACTTACAGTAAACAATCGGAATCTTATATTGGGTTTCCTAAATGAATGCATTTTATTCCCATGAAAATGTTTTCTGTAAGTTATATCTTGTATTACAGAAGAACTTATTTTACAATTAAAAAAACAAAGAATACAAACAAATGAATGAAACGCATATCTAAAGTATCATGTGAAGCCTAGCTCAAAAAATTATTAAAACAAAAACATATTTAGCTAATATGGTCAATGGAAATTAGACATGTGATATTATGAGTAGATAATTCCGGTCACAATCATTTTCGCAAAGAAAAAAAATAAATTTGATTAAGAGTAACAAAAAAGGTTTAACCTAATATAATGTGAAGTTGAAGAATAATTAATCATAATATTTGAAATTAAATATGTTTGTATACAAAAATATCTAAGATGAATTTAGATTTTTATTAATCAAAATATATTATCAGTCCTTCAGGAAAATATTTGATTTGTGTTGATTATACAAATAATTTTCCCAAGGAAAAATAAACATTTTATTACAAAGAATAATGCAATTCCGATTCCCATTTACATTGCAGGTTTTGTCAAGTAACCTATAAATGCACTCAAAGTTTACTACTATAAATATGGCATAATAAAGCACACTGGTATTGCTTGCCTGGGGTATAGGTAGGGTTGACACCAGTGACAATGGCTCCAATGCTTATGGCTCCCAGCATAACAATGGGATATTCTGGACAGTTGAGCATTATAATGGCTACAAAGTCACCTTTCTTGATGCCCAGTTTGTTCAGCATGCCCGCCCACCTGGCTACGCGGTCCACCAGCTGAGAGAAGGAGTACCTCCGGCGCGTCACTCCACACTCCTGTGGTAATTAACCTTCATGATATATCTACATCGAATACCTAAAGTAAAGAACAATTAAGTATATTTATCATTATATGTAAAATATTATTTATATTAAATATATTTTTCTCATAAAAATATATATATATATATATATATATATATATATATATATATATATATATATATATATATATATATATATATATATATATGACAATGTCAGACCACGGAGGAAAAATGAAACAGGAAATTTCCTTTGGGCCGTCTGCGTTGTCCAAGTATTGTACCTCACCTTACTTCACCACTCCTTCCTGCCTATTTATACCCATCACTCGATCTGTAAAATGACCTTCTGAAGATGTATTTAATATACGAAAGTACTTAAGGAAATTTCCTGTTTCATTTTTCCTCCGTGGTCTGACATTGTCACATTCTTAATCACGTGTTTATTTTCGTGATATACACACACATATATATATATATATATATATATATATATATATATATATATATATATATATATATATATATATATATATATATATATATATATATATATATATATATATATATATATATATATATATATATATATATATATATACACTACATTTTTTGCTGAGATATTCCTGTGCAGGCCCTAAGCCTCTGGCTGGCCAACTAAGTGTTACTTCTTTCTGTTTTACTTTGGCGGAGTATGAGTATTTATGATTCAGATGGTCGCTTCAATAAGAATATGCCTCATATGTTTAACAACTTCTGCTCTGTAGAATTTTAGTTGAAATCTTAATGAGTTTGTTACTGTGCACTGTGTTAGATAATGTTTCAGTAATCTGTCGGGCATTTCTCCACAGAGCTGTCATTTCCTCTCACCTTCTGGAACCTGTAAGCCTATTTCCCATGCACATGGGTATCCAAGCCTGATGCTATGTAAGCGTACTTCTGTTGTTCTACTACTCCTTTTCCTAAAAATATGTGGTTCGAAATTGGTTAAATTCTTATTCCAACCTGCAGATCCTAATGTTGCAACTGCTGTGTTCATCAGGTCACTGTACATCTTATGTATTGCTTTTTTTTAATTACTTGCTTAATCTGTGATAGACTCTGTGGTTTGTAAACCACAGAGTCTACATTTCTTCACTTAGTTGCAAATTTTGCAGCTTTATCTGCATTGTCATTCCCTATTATTCCTACATGACTTGACACCCAGCTCATAAGTATCTGACAGCCTTGACGTTTGAGTGATTGCATGTTGGTTTTGCTTCATATTAAGTACGGTGATTATATGACATAATTATTAGAGATAAACCTGGTACTCAACGAAAAGCCTCTAGCCAAGGGTGAGGCTACGTGCATAGTAATCTTTCCAATTCTTGTGGTAATTAACCTAAATAAGTAAGGCACAAATCAACGAATGTGCTACGCCAGTGAAAAATGACAAAAATAAGGGCGTGTGTGTGTGGGGTATGTAGGGGTCTAAGGGTGTGTGGGGCTATGTAGGGGTGTTAGGGTGTGTAGTGCTATGTAGGGGTGTTAAGGTGTGTGGTGCTATATATAGGGGATGTAAAGGTGTGTGTTGTTATGTAGGGGTGTAAGGGTGTGTGATGCTATGTAGGGGAGTAAGGGTGTGTGGTGCTATGTAGGGGAGTAAGGGCGTGCAGGGCTATGTAGGGGTGCGTGTGGCTATGTACTCATCTAGTTGTACTGACTTAGTTGTTCTTGAGGGGGTTGAGCTTTGACTCTTTGGTCCCGCCTCTCAACCGTCAATCAACTGGTGTAAAGATTCCTGAGCCTACTGGGCTCTATCATATCTACATTTGAAACTGTGTATGGAGTCTGCCTCCACCACATCACTGCCTAATGCATTCCACCTGTTAACCACTGAAAAAGTTCTTTCTAACGTCCCTGTGGCTCATTTGGGTACTCAGTCTCCACCTATGTCCCTTTGTTTGCATACCACCCATCTTAAACAGTTTATCTTTATCTACCCTGTCAATTCCTCTGAGAATTTTGTAGGTAGTGACCATGTCTCCCCAAGCTCTTCTGTCTTCCAGTTTCATGAAGTGTATCTCACGCAGCCTTTCCTCGTAACTCATGCATCTTAGATCTGGGACTAGCTTAGTGACATACCTCTGAACTTTTTCCAGCTATATCTTGTGCTTGACAAGGTACGTGCTACATGCAGGGAACGCATACTCCAGGATTGGTCTTACATATGTGGTATACAGGGTTCTGAATGATTCCTTGCACAGGTTTCTGACGACAGTTCTGATGTTAGCCACCCTTGCATACACCCTTGCAGATGTTATTCTTTTGATGTGGGCTTCAGGAGACAGGTTTGGTGTGATATCAACTCCTAGATCTTTATCTCTCTGTCCGTTGCATGAAGGATTTCATCTCCCATTCTGTATGCTGTGTCTGCTTTCTGTTTCCACTGCCTAGTTTCATACCTTTCATTTACTCGGGTTAAACTTTAGTAGCCATTTGTAGAACCATTCATTCAGTCTGTGTAAGTCATCTTGTAGCCTCATACTATCTTCCTCCATCTTAATCCCTCTCATAATTTTTGTATCTTCAGCAAATAATGAGAGGAATGATTATTTACTATATATATATATATATATATATATATATATATATATATATATATATATATATATATATATATATATATATATATATATATATATATATATATATATATATATATATATATATATATATATATATCAGAAATGATATAATTAATCAAATCTACTCAGCCCGATGGAATCATTGCTTCCCTGGACGTCGAATCCCTATTTACCAATGTGCCAGTCGACACAACCATAGGAATGATACTGGACAGAGTATACAGAGATGAGAGCACCCCCAAATTAGACATACCTGAGCCACACTTGAAGAGTCTTCTCGAACCATGTACAAAGGAAGCCCCTTTCATCAGTCCACAAGGAGAAATGTATTTACAAATAGACGGAGTAGCAATGGGCTCCCCTTAGGAGTCTCATTTGCTAATTTTTATATGGGAACCAGCGAAGATAGGGTCTTCAGTAGCAGACAAAAACCAACTGTATACTGCCGTTACGTAGATGACATATTCGTAATAGTAAAAGACTCAGGTGAACTAATTGACCTAAAAAGACACCTAGAGAGAGAGTCAGTACTCCGATTTACACATGAAAATAGTGAAAATAACAGTCTGCCATTCTTGGATGTACTAATAACAAAAACAGGAACCTCTTTAAGCACCAACGTATATACCAAGCCCACCAACATAGGATTATGCCTGAACGGTAGAAGTGAGTGCCCCCAAAGATACAAAGCCAGTGTTCTCAATGCTTATATTCGTCGAGCGCTTACCCACTGCTCTGAATGGAGCAACGTGAGTAGAGAGTTTGAAAGAGTAACTCAGGTATTGGTGAACAACGGATATAGCAACGCGGAAATAAACGCTGCTATAAGAAGACACTTGGACCGTTGGTATAATTCAGAACCTAGAACAGAAACCACAACACCCCCAATAAGATTATATTACAAATCAACCATGCACAGTGAACATATAAAAGAGGAAAGAATAATGAAAGAAATAATCCGTAAAGGAGTAAAAAGCACTACTCCTAACCAAAACATAAACCTGATAATATTCTACAAAACCAAGAAGACTTCCGAACTCCTTATCAAAAACAGCCCGAAGCCGACGGAGAACACTCTACAGCAGTCAAGCGTTGTATACATGTACACTAGCCCCCACGAAGGATGTAACCTTCAATGTAAGTACATTGGTATGACGTCGACCAAGCTGACGAGGCGTTTGACATGTGTGACGGTAACGCGTTGGTGTTCGGCTGTTTAAGGCTAGGGGTATGGCCTCGTCACATAGTTATAAAAAAAAATAGAAAAACTGGAACTTCGTCTGTGGTAAGGTAAGGAGAAGACACACAAAACACAAGTAAACTTTAACAATGAAATTTTAATTACGTTAAATAAATCAAAACATGAAAAAATGGACAAACAAATTCGTATAATAAAATCAATCAATCAAAATAATAAGAATAATTAAATGACACAATGAAAAGTTACGTTAAGACAAAATAACAAGAAGTGCAAATACAAAAATAAAGGTAAGGTGCTGGAATATTGGCTTTAAGCTACCACCTCTCTCAGTATACGCTAACGTCTAGCCGGGAGGAGTGGTAACCTGGTTGATACCTGGTTGATGGGGTTCTGGGAGTTCTTCTACTCCCCAAGCCCGGCCCGAGGCCAGGCTCGACTTGTGAGAGTTTGGTCCACCAGGCTGTTGCTTGGAGCGGCCCGCAGGCCCACATACCCACCACAGCCCGGTTGGTCCGGCACTCCTTGGAGGAATAAATCTAGTTTCCTCTTGAAAATGTCCACGGTTGTTCCGGCAATATTTCTTATGCTTGCTGGGAGGACGTTGAACAACCGCGGACCTCTGATGTTTATACAGTGTTCTCTGATTGTGCCTATGGCACCTCTGCTCTTCATTGGTTCTATTCTACATTTTCTTCCATGTCGTTCACTCCAGTACGTTGTTATTTTACTGTGTAGATTTGGTACTTGGCCCTCCAGTATCTTCCAGGTGTATATTATTTGATATCTCTCTCGTCTTCTTTCTAGTGAGTACATTTGGAGGGCTTTGAGACGATCCCAATAATTTAGGTGCTTTATTGCGTCTATGCGTGCCGTATATGTTCTCTGTATTCCCTCTATTTCAGCAATCTCTCCTGCTTTGAAGGGGGAAGTGAGTACTGAGCAGTACTCAAGACGGGACAACACAAGTGCCTTGAAGAGTACAACCATTGTGATGGGATCCCTGGATTTGAAAGTTCTCGTAATCCATCCTATCATTTTTCTGGCTGTCGCAATATCTGCTTGGTTATGCTCCTTAAACGTTAGGTCGTCCGACATTATTATTCCCAAATCCTTTACATGCTGTTTTCCTACTATGGGTACATTTGATTGTGTTTTGTACTCTGTATTATGTTTAAGGTCCTC